CGGTTCAAAGCCAGCCTGGGCAGGAAAGACCGTGAGACTCCTATCTCCAATTAACCACCAGAAAACCGGAAGTGGCGCTGTAGCTCAAGTGGTAGAGCTCTCCCCTTGAGCTGAAGAGCGGAGGGACAGCGCCCAGGCCCAGAGTTCAAGCCCCAGGACTGACAAAAAAAAAGTTTCCAGTCTACTTTATTGTATATAAAAAAAAACCAAAACAGAATGGGCTGGGAAGGTGACTTAGTGGTAGAGTGCTTGCCTTGCATTCATGAGGCCTTGGGTCGACTCCTTAGCACCATATAAGCAAAAAAATCCAGAAGTAGCACTGTTGTTCAAGTGGTAGATCACTCGCCTTGGTCTGAAGAGCTGAGGGACAGTGCCCAGGCCCAGAGTTCAGGCCCCGGGACTGACCAAAAAAAATAATAAAAATAAATAAATGAAAAAAACCAGAATTGTGGATAGTAGCTTTTCCTGTGTAATAAGTGAACCAAGAAGTACTTAAATTATTTAAGTTTTACAGTCTACATTTTTGGGTATTCTCAGTTGTTATTTTGATTAATCTGTTTAAATAACATATAAGACTTCAATCTTCTGGTTCCTTGGTTGAGGATTGCTGGTTGGGATTCTGTTACTCCTATGACCAGTATTTCATGTCGTGTCTTTATTACATCTTATATATCTAATAGGATGGTCAAGGCTCTTCATATGAATGTTTAGGATAGTGAACTACTTGTCAAACTGGTGTCTATATCGTTTTTACTGATATCCCTTTGGCCAAAGCAGATTAAATGGCAAATTACAATTTCACAAGGGTGCACTGAGTATTTGGGTACAGGGAAATATGCCATTTGATAAAAATTAGTGAAACATTATAAGAAATAGGTCTGTATACATTTTTTGGGTAAAAAATACTGAATTATAACATACACGCTGTCCATGGTGCTTAAATTTGTAAATGAATGAGGTAGAGTACAAATGCTCAATGGAGTCCTAGGATAGCTTTTCATTAATTAAAAAAATATTTTATATGTCTCTAAGTGTATTTCACTAATAACTAGTTTTAATGAAGATGTGATGTGTTCTTTTGGTTTCAATTATTCAATTATTTTTGTGGGAACATTAGTTTTTACCAGTTCTATATGTATATTAACTAAGAAATGAAATGAGTTTATACTATCTCGTATACTAATGGACTGTGGATTCGTCTTTAGTAAAGAGTTTAATGCTCTACTTGACACAGTCAAGATTCTTTCCCAAGAAGGCTTTCTGCTTTTCCAGCTGATGTATAATATTTTGGGGAGGAAAATCTGGGGCACAGTCACACACATTCTTTCCTGACCACTTCATTTGCCTTCTTTCCTCCATGCTTCCAGAATCTTCTATGCATTGTCAGCAGCAAGAAAGAATGAAAGGATCTGTGGTGAGTTGCTTTTCATTTCTCACTTTGTTTTACATTCCATTTTATGAACATAAGAGTGTCCAAGATGGAAAAACAGACTCAGCTTCAGGAAAATGTTTCTAAATCAGTTAAAAATGGCTTATAGATTTTGCAGATTATGAAATCTTCAGTTTGTTTAGTTTTTCTGATGTGAGAAATAGGAGTCACATTAGTTATGAGATTGAAAGTAGGTGACTTCTCATGGAAGGTGAAGTTTCACTAGCAACTTGTCAGAGATCCCATCCTCATGAGTAACGTTAAGCTCTTAATAAAGTTTTACTACAGTTGCTGAAACAGTGTGGTCCCACACAACGTTTAATATTCTGTGGGACTGAGTAGCTATATGTACATAAATTACTCTCCATACATAGTTCTCGGACTGTTTCATGGTCTTTATCTTACTTGATACTTAGGCTATATTTGATGATATAGTCTATGGCCTTCTAGAAATCCCTCTGTTTTATTCTAAAGTGTCTTCACAAGACTCTTTCTAAAATTTTCTCTATTCATTCTGTTTCTTGCTTACTAGGTTTCTTTATTTCATTCTTTCTCTGTATTTGTTTTTCTCTGTCTCTTTCTCAGTTCTTCTACCTCCATATATTTCTCATTTTTTTCTTCAAATGCTTTATCTGGGAACTAGTTTTCTTACTGATCAATTTACCTTTGCTGATGTGGGCTCTTATAATTAACATTTCTCTTACCTATTATAGAGGGAAATTGTTTCTACCTGAGGTGGTTCTACAGGATTCTGGAGCCAAAGAAAATCATACAAACACAGACATAAACTGAGAGAGAGAGGGTGACACGGGGCACAGGCAAGCATATTTGCTTGAATTTACAAAGGGAAAGTTACCGTGGATACTTGTAAAAAATAGACCATTGAACCGGGCACGAGTGGCTCACACTTGTAATTATAGCTACTCAGAAAGCAGAGTCATAGATTGTGGTTCAAAGAATGGTTAATGTAGTTACGCAGGATGGTAGATTTAAGAAATTGTAATTCTATGGCCTTTTAAACATGGTTTTGGAGACTTTGGGTTTTAACATACAGCTTTTATTATCTAGATGTCAGCTCTGTATATTATTATGAATAGTTTGTATTGGTGGTCATACAATTTGGGCTGATGTTTGCTTCATTTCATATTAGTATTTGTGTTTTCCATTATTGATTTTTACTTTTGATATCTTTGTATTCATTTCTTTCTTTCTCTATATTTTGTATATGTCTTTTTCAAAGGCTTATTGAGATTTTTTCTTTCTGCTCAAGTTGGACAGTGCCTTATATATTAACTATATATTACAGTGTTAATGCAGTTTAATTTTAATGGCCACTTTGCTATTTGTTATCTGTTTGTCTCATATGATACTCATTTCCTATTTTGTTTCCATGTAACCTGCACACATCCTTCCATATACTGAAAAGCACCTCTAGTATAAACTGTAGGCATTCCTCTCTACTCTGTAAATCACCTATCATACCCATTACAATTTAAATCCTATGTAAATAGCTATTATACTGAATTGTTCATAGGATAATGACGGTTTGTTCAAAGACTGAATGTTTAATACAGGTGCCATACTTTTTCAAATATTTTGGCTCTATGGTTTACTGCATCTGTGCAACTTATAAATATGCAAGGCCCATATATCCCTTTAAAAGGGCTGTTATGTAGTACCTGTAATCTTGTCTGATAGTTACACTGTGTTCGTCATAAAGAAGTAATTAGAGATTTTTTTTTGTACAAAACAAAGGCCATCCTTGGACTGAAGCATAGAGCTTTAGCAGAAGTAAACCATGCACAAAAATTGTATACAGGAACTTCAAGAAAATAAATTTCCTGTCCAGTCTGATTAATTTATATGGTAGACAAAGGATACTAACATGCTCAGTGTAGTTCACTGTATTATTACTAGGTACTCTTAACAGTTTACAATATTCTCACAGTACCAGCATATGACATCATATAATATAGTTACTTTTCAGTGAGATAATTCCATTAATAACCTAACACTATTGACCTTGTAGTTTTGTTTTTGGTGGAATTAATTCTTTGAACTCAGGCCCTCAAATTTGCTCAGGAAGTACAATATCAATTGACCCATTTACCTAGCCCATGTACTTTATTTTTAATACAGTTATGTGTTTGTATATTGAATTTTCATGCTCTATGAATAATGAATATGGTGCTACGTTTTCCTTGCACAAATCATTTTAGAGAAATTACATAAAATGTATGTTCTATACATTCATACATTCCTTTATCCTTACCTAAACATTTACTGTTGGGTTTTGTTGTTGTTGTTGTTTGTTGGTAATGCAGCTTGAACGCTAGGCGTGGGCACTGTCCCTGAGCTCTTCAGCTCAAGGCCAGCGCTCTACCACTTGAGCAACAGTGCCAAATCTTATAAAGGCCAAATGAATAATTAGCTAGTTTCTTTAAGCAAACATTTCTACTTTGATTTTTCTTTCTCGCATTGTATAGATAATACATCAAGCCCCAAATACTCTATTTAAGACAAAAACATGCATGTAGAAGAATGAAATTCCACACTTGATGTTCTCATGACTAAAGGCACACATACACATACATGCACACATATACATACACACCTACACATACACATATTTTTACTTGATGGAAATGTGCCATTACAGAAACTGGTGTCATTTGATGATGTGGCTGTGGACTTCAGCTGGGAGGAGTGGCAGGACTTGGATTTTTCTCAGAGGACCCTGTACAGAGATGTAATGCTGGAGACCTATAGCAACCTGGTGTCCTTGGGTGAGCAAAAATCACATTCATTTTCTAGGTCAAGTGATTTGTTTTCAGTAGATATTTGAATATTTATCAAACTTGCATTGGTATTTGAATAGAAGGTTCCAGTCCATGCGAAGTATCGTTTCTTTTTCAGGAAAACTTCAACTTGATTATATAACTCGTGAGGCATTTGTATTCTTTTTTCAAGCTGCCAAGTAAGAAGTGTGACAAAAGTTCTAAACTGTGTTCCACTAACACGAGACAGTCTTCCCACTTGAGACGATTTGTTGTAGGTGGATATACAATGTAGAGTAGAATGTATATGACTATTGGAAGCATGATCTGGAAATCACTAAATGAAAGTGGGTATTTATTATTCAAGTGTGGTACTGGGTGCAGTGGTTCATCCCTTTAATCCTAGCTAATCTGGTGGCTGAAATCCAGGATTTCAGTTTGAAGCCAGTAATGGCAGCAAATACCCCCCCAAGACATATCTCCAATTAACCACTTAAAAACTCGAAGTGGAGCTGGGGTTCAAATTGGTAGAATGCTAGCCTTCAGCAAAAGAGCTGAGTTCAAGCTACATAACTGGCAAAATAAATCCAAAGCTGGGGGCAAGTTAACTGTGGATCCAGTGAGGAATGAGAAACAAGATTTAGTAGCAACCTTGTGAATAGGATGTCTGAACTTTTATAGCAGTGATGACCCAGCATGAGAAACAGTTCTTCACTGGTTCTTATTAGCAGGGCCCTGTGTTCCTAAACCTAACTTGATTGTCAAGCTGGAGGAAGGTGCAGAACCATGGATAGGAGAAGCCTCAGACAAGAATTACACAAGTGAGTTAATATACCTTGCATAGTGATGTTGGATTGAGAGCTTGGTTGGTAAGTTCATCTTGCATTGTACTGAGCAATAATGTTCCTACTTCCCCTGAGTCCTGAGTGTGGTAGAGAACTAGGTGATCCTTTGTCTCAAAAGATTTGTGAATCCAGAATTTATACGGAAACATTGAACTCTGTGTGGCAGTAGAATTAAAGTTAGCAATTCTCTTTCTCCTTGTAGAAATTACTCTGAAACAAAAAACTAAAATGAGAAATTTAGAATACGAGATTTCATTTTCTTTGAAATTCGGAGTGTGCTGGTATGAGGAAATAAGTAGTATGCCAGGGTTGCTGTCCTTTAATAAGGAAAATAGCTTATCAGTGGTGGGCAGATACTGGGATTCAGAAGCAAAGCATTTAGTCTAAAAAGGCTCCTTAAGGGGGCTGGGAAGGTGGCTCAGTGGTAGAGTGCTTGCCTTGCATGCATGAGGTCCTGGGTTCGATTCCTCAGCACCACATAAGCAGAAAAAGCCAGAAGTGGTGCTGTGGCTCAAGTGGAAAAATGCTAGCCTTGATCTGAAGAGCTGAGGGACAGCACCCAGGCCCAAAGTTCAGGCCCCACAACCGACATAAAAATGTACTCACTATCTACAGTATATAACTGTAACCCCTCTGTATATCATCTTCACAATTTAAAAAAAAAAACAAACCATTCCTGCTTAGGTGAAAGGCAAGGGGATGTATAAAATACTCTTAATGGTCTCTGAGTCTAGTAATTATTCATATGCCTCACCTAATAGATGAAAAGCGAAGTAGAAAAATACATTTTTCAAGAAAAGAAAAGGAAACAAAGCAGCATTCCCCTATGGTCAAACAAAACAATATTTGAAAAACACAACCACAAAAATACTAAAGGCAGATGGCAAATACTCAGCTTAAAACTCTAGCAGTATGTAGTTGAGTAAATATTTTTCCTGATATAAAAAGAAGAAAAAACTGAAATACAGAAAAACATTTTCCATTGTAAAATATCATTATTACTTTCTTAATGTATTAGGCAGAAGACTATATTTTTCATAAAGCTATTCCTACTTTGATACAGTTTTTGTCAGTCCTGAGGCTTGAACTCAAGGCCTGGGCAGTGTCCTTGAGCTTCTTTTGCTCAATACTAGCACTCTATTGCTTGAGTCACAATGCCACTTCTGGTTTTTTCTGTTTATGTGGTACTGAGGAATCAAACCCAGGGCTTCTTGAATGCTAGGCAAGCACTCTAACACTAAGACATATTCCCAGCCCCATACTTTGGTATTTTAAGTCTAACAGATAGGATGGGAGAAAATGTCTTTACCTTTACATTAAGGAATTTTTTTGGGGGGTCCGGTCATGGGGCCTGAACTCTGGGCCTGGGCACTGTCCCTCAGCTTTTCAGCTCAAGGCTAGTGCTCTACCACTTGAGCCACAGCGCCACTTCTGACTTTTTTTCTTTTTGCTTGTGTGGTGCTGAGGAATCGAACCCAGGGCCTCATGCATGCAAGGCAAGCACTCTACCACTGAGCCACCTTCCCAGCCCCCTCATTAAGGAATTTTTGGTCTTATGTTTTTGTCTTTTTTTTCTCTGACTCATTTTAGATGTCCAAGAAATGGAGGATGTGATTAAGGACTTCCAGGAAAGTCCACGTGAATGTCTGTGTGAAGTAGCTGTCAAAAATAGTAACACAGTAGAAGAAAGTATGAGAACTTTTGATTTGAGTGATGAGCAGCAAAAGTCTACTCTCCTTGCCCAAGAAATACTTCAGGGACAGAGGAAAACACCTGAATGCAATGGATGTGGAAAAAGTTTCGATTTAAGTAGTATAGTCACTACACATCAGAAAATGTGCACAAGAGAGAATCCTTGTACATATAATGTATGTAAAAAACCTTTCAGTAGGGAAATTGTCCTTGCAAAACCCCATAGCAAATATGCAGAGAAGTCCAATGATTATATCCAGTGTGAAAAATCTATGTCTCAGAAGTCAGATCTGACTTTCCCACCTCAAACACCCACAGAAGATAAACCCTATCAATATGAGGGATGTAGGACAAATTCTACCCAGAAGTCAGCTCTCAACCAGTATCAGAGAAGTCACACAGAAGAGAGAAATTATGAATGCGACAAATGTGGAATGTTTTTCAGACTGAAGTCATACCTCACTTCACATCAGAGAAGACACACAGGAGAGAAACCTTATAAATGTAACAGGTGTGGAATGTCTTTCACCTGGACGTCACAACTTACTATCCATCGGAGAACACACACAGGAGAGAAACCTTATGAATGTAACAGGTGTGGAAAGCCTTTCATCCGGAAGACACAACTTACTGCCCATCAGAGAACACACACAGGAGAGAAACCTTATGAATGTAACAGGTGTGGAAAGCATTTCACCCGGAAGACACACCTTAATGATCATCAGAGAACACACACAGGAGAGAAACCTTATGAATGTAATGTGTGTGGCAAGTCTTTCACCCGGAAGACACACCTTACTGATCATCAGAGAACACACACAGGAGAAAAACCTTATGAATGTAACATGTGTGGAAAGTCTTTCATCAAGAAGGCAAACCTTACTGTCCATCGGAGAACACACACAGGAGAGAAGCCTTATGAATGTGTCAAGTGTGGAAAGTGTTTCATGCGGAGGGCAGATCTTAATGTCCATCAGCAAAAACACACTGGGGAAAAACTTTATGAATGTAACAGGTGTGGAAAGTCTTTCACCCGGAAGACAGAGCTTAACATCCATCAGAGAATACACACAGGAGAGAAACCTTATGAATGTAACAGGTGTGGAAAGCCCTTTACCCAGAATTCACACCTCATCAAGCATAAGAGAATTCACACTAGTGAGAAATCTTAGGAATGTAAGGAGCCAATGATTGTGTCAAAGGTCTGATAAATTGACAGGTGTTACAGAGAGTCTACGTGGTTTCAAGTGACTGGGTGAGTTTGTGCTCACTTATACAAAGTACTGCATTCAATGAATGAACCGTAATCTTACTGCTTACTCCAAAGCGACATAAATATATATCGCTATCTATTGATCTATTTGCCTGTATTTGAAAGAGTATATCAAATAAATTACCAATTAGTGAGATTGATATTTCAAATCAAGAAAAAATTTTTTTTGGTCGGTCTTGGGGCTTGAACTCTGGGCTTCGGCACTGTCCTTGGGCTCTTCAGCTCAAGGTGAGCGCTCTACCGCTTGAGCCACAGTGCCACTTCTGGGTTCCTAGTGGTTTATTGGAGATAAGAGTCTCATGGACTTTCCTGCCTGGGCTGCCTTTGAACCGTGATCTTCAGATCTCAGCCTCCTGAGTAGCTAGGATTACAGGCGTGAGCCATCGGCACCCAGCCAAGAAAGCTTTTTACTTTACATGTCACATTTATTCTTAATTCAAACAGAATTTTTCACAATGAAAATACATTTTGAATGCTGCTCATTGTTTGTCATGATGGCACTCTACATTGGTTACACATTATAATGTGTGGTTGAAGGATTTATTTTTTTGAAACAAAACTGTTCATGGCAAACTCTAGTGGCAGGTGCTCATTGTGAACATTCCATGATGACCTCTCGTCATGATTATGAGATGATACAGTCTTGCCTTCTACTCAGTCAAGAGGTTCACATTTAAATGGTTGGAACATCCTCATGTTCCCGTGTCTAGTCATGAGAAATGGGAAATCTGAGTTGCTGTGGAAAGTATGTTCATACAGAGCATCTGAATGCTGTTTCTACACATGACTGTTCAATGTTAATCTATATTCCTCACTGTTTTAAAATTCTGCAATTTTTATTTTTTAAATTTGTTACAAAATTCCATTAAATTACTCAGTTTTTATGCTATGAAAATATTTTTCCTAATTTCAAGTATTGTAGTTTTTCTAATTTAGTTTTGGTAAACATCTTGTAAGAGAACAGATAACAGGGATCACACATACACTGCCTTTATTAGATGAATGAACTTGTGATACTAAATAGAACAATGTCAGAATTTGAGGTGTGGCACGTGGAGTAGAGTGCCAAGCTTTACCATAGAAGCCAAAGAAGACTGCCATGAACTTAAGGCTAATAGAAGCCAAAGAAGACTGCCATGAACTTAAGGCTAATAACCGGTAAGAGCAAACAAAAGAAAAACAGATATAGTAATAGAATTCATCAGACAGTAATTATACATCAACTTCTTCCTGTAGATAACCAAATAGAGAATGTTAGACGTGGAAATCCAGATACTTAGGTGTGTTTTCAGAGCATAGTACTGAGATTGTACTGCTATCTTAGTCCCTGTTAATAGGGCCCTACTGGGGAAGTGATCAGAGAGAGTAGCACCAAAAGGACAGTGTAGTAGACACTGGATGGTGGAGGGAAAACAACTTGGGTGTTCCTCTGAGTGGTTGGTGCTGTTAGGGACTGTGGCACTAACTTTACACGGGAGATCAATTGCTGTTCCCCTGTCCTAAAGATGACAAGACTGACTGAGTCCTTCATTGGTGAGGAGGACTTGAGAAGGAAGATACCTGTTCTCAGGTGACCTGGCCCCCTGGCTTGTTCTTTAACTCAGCTCAGTAATCAACAGAAAGTCATCATCCTCCAAGCATCAGTTTACTAGGGCACAAGGCCTCCATTAATTAGCTTAAGTGCTCATTGGGGCTGGTCAAAGAAAAATTATTGGCACAAACATCAAGTGGCAATTGGTTCAGGATGTTCTGAGCAGTCTTGGGGGCCAAGTAGAACACTGGTCATAGATGGGGTCACCTACTTACTGATAATGAAGGCCCCTAGAAGCCTTTGACAACAAGTATATGTTTAGAGAGGATTGTCACAAGTAATCTCTTCATCATGCAGAAGCTGATCTAATTTTGTTCAGGAATGGAAATTACTTGAACCTTCTCCTGGCTCAAGCAAGCTAGAGCATCAGTCTTTCCAGGATCCCTTTGTTGCAGAAGGGTTTAAGAAAGGGATTAAGACTTGCTTTTGGCTCTAGATTCCATGACATGCAAGGAATCAAGCATTGAGGGAACTCTTAACTTCAGCACCTAATGAGACTTTTTTCTCATTACTATCACTCAGGAGTGTTGGGAATCTGAGGAAGTGTTCAAAAATCTCTCAATTCTTGCTCTGCCCTTCCCTGAGAGCATGGTTGAGATCACAGGAAACAGATATTCATATGAGCTGCAAATTATTTAACCACATAAAGGAAGCAAGTGAAGGCTTACCTTTTTTTCCCCAAGGTTAGTAAATTTGGTTAACAGGCACAGGTAACATTTCCACAACATCAAACGTGGAACCTTGACACAGAATCATCTATACATGGTATAGATTCCACTGTTCTTTTTTTTTTTTTTTTGGTCGTTCGTGGGGCTTGAACTCTGGGCTTGGGCACTGTCCCTGCACTCTTCAGCTCAAGGCAAGCACTCTACC